CTTTATCCTCTCCTCCTTTCTCTCCGCTGCCTCCTGACCCAGCCGCTGCAAATTGTCGTGCGGAAACGTCACAAGCCTCCCCCGCCTCCCCTCCCCTCCCCCTTTCCACTTCTGGGGCAAGCCCACATGCACAATATTCCTCTCGCTGAAGCTGAAAGGGTTAAGATGTGTGAGATAAACCGAATAGCCCGGGGCTTGCTCCCGCGCCGCTTGCTGCCGGTCCAATTCCAGCAGGTGCTTCGTGATCCTGTCCTCCGCATGGTGTTGGCTGTAGTCGGCCGCTGAGGCCAAAATGGCATAGGAGGGCAAGAAAGCGTGGGGGTCAGAAATGAAAGGGGGGCATGATTGTGACCCCGATTGCCTTTCTCGGTGGTCCCGACGGTATCAGTAGTCGCGGTAGAGGTTGTGGCGGCACACGCAAGAGCCGCGCCTGCTTCCCCGCCTTCATTTCGCTTCTTGTTCCAACCTCCTTTCTCCTTCTTTCCCTTGTCCAACTCCCCATGCTGCCCTCCTTCCTTTCCACTAGTCACATCGTCATGATCATTCCGCGTTTCTGCTCGACCCTGTGCCCACCACAAGGAGGGTGTCAAGTGGCGAGGTGTTGCCTACGTCCGCGTTGTAATAAGGAGATATATTGTGTCATGGCAGTACGTTGTGAGGGTTTCGCGTCGCCGCAGGCGCTGGCGTTGCTTGTGCTGCTTACTTTTTATTTTTTCCATGTCTGTGATGGTCATGGTCCTCGCTAAATGGATGCTGCATGGGTTTGGCGCGCTGTCGTCTGTGCGGGTGGCAAGGCACAGCATGTAAGCGGTAGCCAAAGCGCTGTCTGTGTGTGATGGTAATACCAACAAAATTCGGAACCTGTGTGATGCCTCGGCTCTCTGAAGAGGAACGCTTGAAACCTGTGGAAAAGCCAGGACGCGAGACTCGCCTGCGACCAAAGACCTCCCCCCACGTTTACTAATACTAGTAGTGTGCTGATTGTCCGCGGCCACTCCCTGCACGGAGCGCAGCTACTCTTCCTGTTGTTATGGGAGGAAATTCTCTGTTATTGTCTTCTTCGGTCGTGGGTTTGGTGCTCTTGCTACTCAATCCTGAGAACTCTTCCATGCTCTCGCTCTCGCTTTCCTACCTCGCTCCCTGCCATCTTTTCCGAATTTTCTGTTCATAGGTGCAAGGCTCCTGCATCTTCTTGTGCTCCCCTGCCACCATTTCACCCAGCACCCACCCTTCACCTCACCCAGATACCAATATACAGTGCAATACACTCGACACAAGCGAGCCCAAGCGGGCAGAAAGCGGCAGCGGACAGCACAGGCAGCAAGAAGAAGGGAGGGGCGTTGACGAGGACGTCCACGACGCGGCGTGGGTGGAAAGCGATGCTGGTGGTGCGGCAGCTCTCGGCGGGTGTCCGAGGCAGATGCGGGCAGAGGCAGGGGCAGCAGAAGGGAGGGCGCTATCTATCGGGCAGCACAGGGAGCAGCAACACAAATGGTGAAGTGTACTGGGGTCGGCAATGGGAGAAGGCAAAGGAGGCAGCCCCCGTCGTGTTAAGTGTCATTGGCTTTGTTGTAGTGATTTCGGAAGGAACTCGGCTACAGGTGGAAGCGAGGACGAAATTGAGCATGCAAGAGACGATATTGCGCCTGGAGCAGGAGACGAAGCAGGCGGAGCAGGAGATTAATGATGCGGTGCTGCGAAGAGAGATGGCGAAGAAGCAGGCGGAGCAGGAGAAGAAGGATGCGGTGCTGAGAGGGGAGCTTGAAAAGAAGTATGCGGTGCTGAGAGGAGAGATGGAGAAGAAGTATGCGGTGTTGAGAGGGGAGCTTGAAAAGAAGTATGCGGTGCTGAGAGGGGAGCTTGAAAAGAAGGATGCATTGCGGGCGGGGCAGGTGGACGGACGGATTCTCGATCTCTTGACGCAGGGGGATTATGAGCGGGCTCGGATACTGTTGAAGGAGCGAGCAAACGGTCACGTGACTGGTCTGCCCTCTTCTCCTCCTGCTCCTCCTCCTACCTAGGCGGCTCTGTCGTGGTGAGGGTGGTCTGCAGCCTCCTTTCTGTCACTGCGTCCATATCTGACTTTTACCGACATGACAGAGACAGAGAGAAAGATGTTGCCGGGGGCGGCGCATCGAGATGGAGCTTGTTTGTCATGATTGGCAAGGTAGGAGAATAGATGGAGGAGGATGGGAGAGAAAAGGGATACGAAGCTAAAGAAGACTTGTGCGTTGATACAACTCTAGGTGGAAGGAGGGGCAACACATGACGAGGAAGGAGGGGAAAATGGCAGTGGTGGAGGATGCGGTGGGGTTGAAGTATGTACATTGTGAATTGGAAAGCAAGTGCAAGGGCCCGCAGCTAAGGCTTTTTTGTGGAAAGACACGAACAGCGACATACATAGCAAAATAAAGAAGTACGGCTGATATTGCTTATCAATTCACATAACAGGACCCTTTGATTTCTTCTATCATTGACTTGCACAGGCCCCTTCTTCATTTTCGTTCCACGTGCATACACGTTCACACACATGCACTCAAGAGACAAAACAACGCGCTACGCTGCTTTTTCAGCTCTTCTTCCTCCTTTTCTTTCCAGCGCTCCTTCTCTTTCTCCTCTCTCTGTGCGTCCTCTTTCACTCTCACAAATTCAACGCATTCCCTTACAACTGCATCTCCTGTGCCCCTTCTCTCCCTCCTTCCTTTCCAAGTTTCCAAGACCCCCTCTCCTTCCTACTATACCTCCCAACGCTTTCTCGGTTGGATGGTTTCCTCCATCTTCTACCACCTCCCCCTGAAGACTTTCGACAAGGAAAGCATGGTGAGAGTTCCGATCACTGCCTGCCCCCACTACCCTCATCAAGGCCTATAGGTAGGGTTCGGCCGATTTACTGGGATTATAGGCAGTGTAGGGTTAATGCTGTGTTGATGCTGTAGTTGATGCTGGGCTGGGTGTTGAGCAAATCCGAGGAAACACATGCCACGAAATGCCCGCCCCGGGTGACGGGGTAGATGCCGGCATCAGGCCATTGGCGTGTCTGTGGAACGGTGACGCCATCCCGCCAATAAGTCGCTTCTTTGGCTGCCGGAGAAGTACAGGCACATGTACGGAATGCAGACCACACGTGATGGATTCGCGGTCGAAAATGTGCCGTTTGGCCGGCCGCCGGGTATCGTGAACAAATTTGGCGACTCGCGGACGAAGAAAGTTACACAAGGAGTTCGAGATTCCGTTTATTTGCAAGTTGTATTTCTTCAAGACAACACCTACAGTACACATATCTCCAAACCTGTCAGCGTGACGGTGACATTGATTGATTCATGAGTGAAAAGCAGCAAAGCGTCCATCTCTCTCATCCATCAGATAATCAAGGTGCACACACTTTATATGCCATAATGGAGAGTATTGGCTTACTGTTTGTATTTTTATCTTCGTCGTGCTATGCTAAGTTTATCAAATTAAGTTCAAGGCGCTTTCCCTCCAAACAAACAAGGAAGGGCAACGAATCTGGAAGAGAGCAATGTTGTCATGGCACACTCCATGCCGATGCATGTCCGTGAGACTCTATTCCCTCATATTGCTTTCTTCAACTACAAACCACCAGGCGTCATGACGGTTCCCCCCCAGCACCGTGCCTACCATCTCACCAGGAAAGTACGTGTCTAAGCCCGCTTGTTCTACCTCTCCAGCTGATAACCGGCGGCCCCCTTTCTCCCCTACTAAGGCTTCCTGTTCCTGTGCTCCCTCCTCTGAGATCCCTCCACGACCACCTCCTTCCTCCTTCCTTTCCGTCTTGGCATCTATGCTTCTCCTTCCTCCCTTACACGACCGGGCACCTACTCCCACTCGATGGTCGCGGGGGGCTTGGATGAACAGTCATAAGCGCACCGGTTAATCCCCTGGACCTCGTTGATAATACGGGTCGAAATGCTGGGCAAGATAAGGGGGGCAACAAAGAGAGGAGCAGGAGGGTCAGCACACAGCTAGCCGGGAAGGCGCTATCACAGGCAACGTGCCGACCAAGAAACACACCCTGAAGGACAACAACGGTCACGCCATCTCCCTCCCAAGCTCCATACTGCAGCTCTCCCACTCCCCCCCCAATAAAACACACGAAGCATCCACACACTGCCATCAAACCAGCGGCTCAGAAAGAGCCCCCCCCCCCCTT